AATTTGCCCCTAGTTTTTCCTTGAGGAACTTTATAGTTTTAGGTTTTACATTTAAGTCTTTGATCCATCTGGAGTTAGTTTTTGTGTATGGTGTGCAGTATGGATCTTGTTTCATTTCTGTGAAAATGGATATCCAGTTTTGCCAGCACCATTTATTAAACAAAAGTTCTCCTCCCCATTTAATGAATTTTGGCCCTTTGTCAAAGATCAACTGACCGCAGGTCGATGAATCTATTTCTGGGTTCTCAATTCTGTGCCATTGGTCTATGTGTCTGTCATTGTACCAATACCAGACAGTTTTGACTACTGTGGCTGTATAGCATGTTTGGAGATCTGGCAGTGTGAGACCTCCTACTTTCTTCGTCTTCAACAGTGCTTTGCTTATCCAAGGTCTCTTTCCTTTCCATATAAAATTAATGGTTGGTTTTTCCATATGCTTAAAAAATGTTGTTGGGATCTGGATTGGAATTGCATTGAATGTATAGATTGCTTTCGGTAGAATTGACATTTTCACAATGTTCAATCTTCATATCCACGAGCATGAGATGTTCTTCCATTATGTAGATCTTTTATGGTTTCTTGAAGTAGTTTTTAATAGTTTTCTTTGTACAGGTCTTTTGTGCCCCTGGTAAGATTTATTCCCAAGTAATTTATTTTTTGGTAGCTATTGTAAACCGTATTGACTTATTGCTTGCTTTCTCAGCAGTCTCTTTGCTGGTGTAGAGGAATCCAACTGATTTTTTGGATGTTGATCTTGTATCCTGCTGTGATGCTAAATCTCTCAATTAGTTCCAGTATATTTTTTACTGAGTCTCTTGGGTTTTCTAGATACAGGATTATATTATCAGCAAATAGGGATGGATAGTTTGATTTCTTCCTTACCAATTTGGATGCCTTTGATTTCCCTTTCTTGCCTTAAGGCTCTGGCTAGGACTTGCAGTACAATGTTGAATAGAAGTGGTGATAGAGGGCGTCCTTGTCTGGATCCCATTCACAAGAGGAATGGTTTCAGTCTCTCTCCATTGAG